ACATTTGACAAAAATTCTTAGAAACCATTTTTTATGTACGAATTATTGTTTATTGATTCATATTACTTAGTATTCAAGATTACAAGTAAATTATGCGTAAGTACAACTTATTAAGGCTTCATGTTTGAATTCGTGTAACTAACTGCAGATAAACATAAGCGAGAGGGTAAATATCTCATTTTAAATATAAAAATTTAAAATATAATTAGGATAATTATTGAATTCTAATAAAATATTTAATTATTATTTTTATAAAAAATATATTATTAAACAAAAATAAAAAATTGAATTAAAGAAAAACATAAAAAGAATTAAATAGTTAGATTGGTACTAATATCAATTTTTTTTCAATTCTTTATGATATCTTCGTATTTATATCTTATTCAAAAATAAAAACATTATCGTTTTTCTCAAAACCATATAAAATCTTCTTATAACATCGACTGAGACAAAAAAAACATTAAAATAAAAAAAATCTTAAAAACCATTTTTTATGCATGAAGTACTATTTGTTGATGCATATTAATTAAAATTCAAGATTACAAGTAATTTTGCGTAAGTACAACTTATTAAAACTCCATTTTTAAATTCTTGTAATTAATTGCAGATAAACATAATCAAATATAAGATAAACATCTTATTTTAAATATAAAAAATCTAAAATATAATTAGGATAATCATTGAGTTCTAACAGAATACTTAATTATTATCTTTATAAAAAAAAATTATATTATTAAATCAAAATAAATTACTTTGTTATTAAATCTAAATTAAATTATAATAAAAAAATTGAATTAAATAAGTTACACACAAAAAACGAGAACTATTAAATAGTTAATTTGATACTAATTTCGATTTTTTTCAAATTTTTATTTCATTCAAAATAAAAACATTATCGCTTTATCAAAACCACATAAAATCATATTATATCGATAGAGACAAATAATAAAAATTAAACATTAAAATTGAGATTTATCCCGCTACATTACACGAGTACCCTTCTAGTTATAAAAAAAAAACTTTACTAGAGCAATAAATTTAACATATTTTTAATAATAGAAAAATATTTATAAAAAAATTGCAAATGTGTCTCGTAATATATTTGGTAAAAAAAAAGTGTGTTGAAATTAAAGATTACATCAGGTGATCATAGAAAATTATAGTATTGGAGAATGTTGAGCGTATAGTATATTGGAGTGCTTCAATTTCATTGGACAATAATTAAACGCGAACGTGGTATGAGGAACAGTTAAGGGATATTTTGTATACATGCATAATTTTTACATATCATAATTGTTGTAGATGAAGATGACACGTTTATCAATTGGATTGATAATGAAGTAGATAATTAGATAAAAAAACATTTCAAGATTTCACTTCACGAATTCCATGAAAATATCTTCAAAGAAATTCTGAAATTCAGTCAAGTGAAATTGGTCATCAACTTTGTGATGGATGGAACATATTTAGTCAAATCATGAATACTTGTAATCCATATTGCTATTTCTATTTCTATTTCTATTTCGTATTACTTTTTGTTAAGACAATTATTTATGCAATATTGCACTTTTTCATGCTATAAATTTATGTATATGTTCAGTTATTTTTTATATATGTTATTGAAATATGTTAATTAAAAAAATTAAAATTAATATAAAAAAAGTGTGAACTAATAATTAATATTTTGAATTTGCTATAATAATTTTAGTTTATATATACATATAAGAAATAAATAAAATCATGTTTTGTATGTCAAAATTATAACACAGACCTTTTATCTTTGTTTCCGTAAAAGATTAAAAAAACCCAATTAATCTCATGTCTGTATACACCAACCTTTAATCCTCTGTTTTCGTGATAAATAAACAATTCAGTAAGGAACTATTTACTTACGGCTTAATTAGGCTTATTTGTCTATCTGGTATATTTACACAGCTCATTTGAGTAGTTTATTTACAGCTTATTCGCACATAAACATAGCGTAATTGCACGGATAGAAATGGTGTTTTGCCCTCATTCAGCCACAAAAATGACACTCCTACGTTTTTATTTAAAGCATCGTCTCCTTCCCAAATGAGACACCCCGTCGTCAACCTCTTTATGATTTTTTGTTTTGATGTTCAAATTATTAATATTGGGAGGTAAATCGGTTGTTTATGTTATTCAGACTGTTGGTTCAGATACAAAAAGTAAACAACACTCATTTATCCAGACAGACAAATTTATCCATACAGGACTTGATAAAAAATTTGGTACACAGACCTTTTCTCCTCTGTTTTCGTGAAAAATCCTGGCTTTGTAAAACAAAAAATTACAATCACTCACTTCTGTATATGATAATAGTAAGAGCATATAGCAGTTTCTTATTTCAACTGCTGCAAATGAAAAAGGGAAACAAGAAACACAAGTAAACTGGTATACAGTCTCCAAGTAGAAGGGTCTGGACAATCAATACAAACAAAAATCACTGATTGAAAGAGGTGCATCTAGTTTGTGAAAAGAAACCTGGATTCTTTCCATCAACATGTTTGTTATTCATTCAAATACCATTTTTAGAGGTAGGAATCACATGAACTTCCTGTAGGGTCTCTTGTTGTCTTCATCTTGCATATGCTGTCAAAATTATAACATATGAATGTTAATATACTTATCCACAACCACAATAAAATAACATTTTCATACATATATATATATATAGGGTTGGGTTCACGTGAGACCAATGGTTTTTCGTGAGACCCGTAAAACCAATTTATGTTCATTGATCAACTTTATAAGATAATGACCTAATATTCTAAAGTTGTACGGTGGCAATTTTGTGATTATTGAGAAATCTCGTAGCAATTTTGTGATGATGAATGTTCAGATTGTAGATCTAAATCAAAGGGTTGAAAATTGGTCTTATGGGTCTCAGGAAAAACCATTGGTCCCACATGATCCAATGTATATATATATATATATATACACACACACACACACACATAAAACTGATGAAATTTGATCACCAAACAAATAAATACAGTGTCACATCACAAAATTTCTATCGTACAAAGAAAAAGAATGATGTTCAAATTATCGAAAGGTCAAAAAATGTCTCACATGAATGAATAAATGATAAATGATGAGCCAAACTATTGATTTGATGACCATTTGTGCATAAAACCATATAAAGCAGGTTTCATACTGTTGAATTAATAAGCATAATTTCTGAATCAAAGATATTATTTACATTCAAGCATGGTTCTTCACTACATTATTGCAATAATAGACCATTAGCTATGTAACATTCACATGTGCATGCAAGGGCCAGTGAGTGAGAATTAAACTTAATACAACTGATATATAAAACCAAGTTTGTTCATATCGACATATAAATGGAACTATCGAGAACTCTCATGTCAAACATGATTTTCACATAATTGTTTCATAAATTTGTAATGCTAAAACAAAAGCAGGTTCCTGTTAAGTAGAAACAAGATAGATAAAGGTTTGTTTGTTAGATTCCTGGCTGAAGCATATCAAAGAAACTAATAAGTCATTGGTTAAATCTATAATTACAAGGGAAAAATGAGAGAAGAAAACTAAATATCCTAGAACCAAGACTGGTAAAGTCAAGGAAAGTAAAATAAACTATAAGTTTTGCTTCTATCAGATTTCAAGCTGCCATTCAGATAAATGTTTTTACACTTTTCTAAACATCCCTACCTAGGGGCTGTTTAAGCCACCTAGGCATAAAGGATCCTTCTACCACTTTGAGTAGTCTGATCTACTTAATCTACTGCCTAGGAGTGATGCATTCCACCGAGCTCCATTTAATGCTTTTTCGAACATTGCCACATTGGTACTTTCAGGTTAATTTATGAGTATCGTTGGAAGAAGAATTGAGGGTTCCTATGTTGTGGGTATGTCATAAATGCGCATCCTTCCATAGTTTTCGCTCTTTTCAACCTTCCATCACAGAAACTATCAATGACTCTGCATTATGGCTAGTAAATGCATCAATAGACATAATACAATCTTTAAAATATTCATAGTTATAAAGTTCCAGGGCATAGCATCTTTTTCTGTTGATATAAGTATTTCTGCTCAGTATGTATGTAGCACTCTAGCAAGCTACTTTTTGTGGTTTCAGATGTTGATGCATGCTTTAGTTCATTCTACCATTAAAAATGGTACTCTGATAACAATTTAACTTGTGGGTTTATTAAAAGAACAGTTTGGAGAAATATTAAGATCAAAAACTTTCACCTTTGTGAAGCATTCATCGTATGGAAAGTCTATTACTCAGTAATCACCATAAAAATATCTTTCTTTCAAATAACTAAAAAGCCGGTGGTTGGCACCCTTCTAAGTTCTAGCCCAAGATTAAGAACCTCTGCATCAACCATTCCCTCGCTTATGACATAATGGAACAAATAAAAGCTGATGTCATCACATGTTTCAGGTGTTCATTCTATCTGCATGGTTGGATATCTTATATCGGCCCAAAAGCAAAGTTACCCAGGTCAAAGTTCGCTTCAATCGGTGTGCCACATTGCCAAAATTCCTACGAAATGGTGAACAACTAAGGTTTAGACCATACTCTCGGCCACAACTCGACATTTTCCTAAAAATTCACCTTTAAAGTGAAAATTGGACATAAAGAAGGTAGTATGAGAGTGAGAGGACAATGATTTTATTACTAAATGATGTTTAGTGATAAAAATCTGTTATTGACTTCTAGATCTACTTCTTCCCTGAGGAGGGTGTTTCCTCCAAACGTACAAATACAAATCGCTTTTCATCATCTTGACGTTCAAATCATGCTGAATCGACACTTACATATTCCTAAGAAAAATCAATTCATTTTTATCCCTTGAAATGCCTAAAGATGACTTTTAAGTATATCTATAGAAAATAAAGATGCCATGTGGAATTTGATACAATGATTTATAAACTGTGATTTTATAAATTGCATTTCTTTAGGATAAAAGGTTTGGTTACAAGAAAGGTGTTTTTTGAAGAAGCAAAAACAAGCCGAATGATATTAAGTTCTACTAGAGCACATGAAAATTGGAAACCAACAAAAACACAGGTAAAATTGATGTATGCTGTTTTGGAAAGTTCGCTAAGCAGTTGGGTCATATATTTCATGACAAAATTACAAGTCATTAGCTCTTACATTAGAACAAAGATTTCACATTTTTGGCAGGAATGGCACACTTGGTGCATGCTGTAGAATTTAAGCCTTAAACGTTGACCCATAAGCATGAGTTTTAAGTAGATTTATGAAAATATAGATGAAGCTCATATGTAATACAAAACAGTGTCTTTTAAACTAGATTGAATTGAAATGGATAGTTTTGGTTTAAAAAAAGTGGAATGATGTTAATTCTATCAGAACCTTTAATAGAAAACTAACAAAAACATAAAATAAAATAAAAAGATGCAGTGCATGTTCTAAGCCCTTCAGTGAGAGTTGGGTCCTATACTTGAAGATAAAACTAAAAGTCTTTAGCTCATTACATTGGGACAGAGATTTTACATTTTTAGCAAGGACATCACACATCATTCATGTGATAGATAGAACTCAAACCTTAAATCTTCTCCAAGAAAGTGAGATGCCTTGCCACTAGGCTATTATCTTGACCTCACCGTCCTTGCCATTTACAATTCTGATTGTTTATTTTTGAAAAAAAATGACATTTACCTATAACACCTGTTTAGAATAATTACTTCTAGCTTATAATTCTATGAGATCGCATTAGCCTTCTCCACTAACCTTTTTCCACCATTCCAGAACTTTAGCTTCACCCTTGCAGTAGTATTATAGTCTGCTGCTACCATCACGGTGAATTCATATCACTAAAGAGTACTATTTACCATATCATATGCATTTTAGAGCACTTTCTTGACTTTTGGTTCGTTCTACCCCACTGAAATGTATTAAGAAACTCTGACTTGAGAGCTGATAGTTGAATCTATTGCATTTTACATACATGAATAGATGTTTGATAAGAGAAACAACAGCTCAAGGAGACTAAACCAAGGTTAGCTTCTTGATGAGCTATATCAATTACTTGACCAATTAGAAAGGATCGCTATATAATTCATTTTCAAGCACAGAACTGAAGTCCAATTAATTACAAAATTTCATGTTTCATAATCTATAAGAATATACCTTCGGTTCATGCTCGGTTCCCCCAGTTTAATCTGGAATGAAAATTTGGGATTCTGGGGAATGGGCCTGTTATATTATATAATACCAAACATTTTCTTTTTTATTTCATTCCTATTGATTACTGATTCATACCTCTAACCAAACACCCCCTCAGTCTAGTATCTTGGATTTGATTAGTAGTTCCTTTTACGGCCTTGAGACAAATAAATCACATAAGGCCACCATTATAATAAATTTTAAGAAATGACTTATCAAATGATTATGCAGGTCAGAAGTGCTTAATAGAATTAAAACATCGCATATCAGCAAAGTAAAGTTCAACAGCAAGCCCTATATCATGACCCCAAAAAGCATTTAAATTTCCTCTTACTCCCGTTATCTTTGTCATTGCCAACCTCACAATTTTGCGAAACAAAACACAGAAATGAAACATCATTACGCTTATGAAATAACATATATCTTCTGGTCTGACAAATTGTTAAGCTATCCACACTTACTCTTTTCAATTCCTCAAGAATCAGATATGTTAACATCAATCATCTAATCATGGAAATCAAATTCCATATTTATTCTTTGAAATTTGAGGCAGTATGCGAAACTGGATGTTAGATAGAGCATATGCACAACAAAACATCACTACTTCAGATCTACAACAGAAAAAGATACAAAGTGAATATACTCACAAATTCACGGACGATGCCCTTGTACACCAAGTAAGGAATTGCGACGCCAAAAATTCCAACAAGAGCTAGGTTACGACGAGTCCATCGGAAATTTTGCTCCAGATTCTCCCTCACTGTGCCCCATTCTTCAACGAATTTGTTCTTGTTGGCCTCCATTCCTCCACCCATTTTGGCTGTCCGATCTCTACACAGTCGTCGTTCTTCCCCTTTCTCTCTCACACACAAACACGCTCACTCAGCAGCCCTTATTATGATGTTCAGAACTGGGGTTGTTTGGAAATAGGGTTAGTGAGTTAATATCATTTTGGCCCTTAAAGAATACACAAGATACATTATCACCCCCTTAACTTTATGTAATTACTTTTCTGTCATCAATTTTACACTACAAAAATACTTGCTTGCTTATGCATTTTCCTTGAAAAACAAGTCCCTAGCCCCTAACTCTGTTAACCAGTCTGTCATCGGCAACTTTCTCATTTCGAATGATTTAGTCCATAAATTTTTTTCTTAAATGAAAAACCATTAAACTTTTTCGTTTTTAATGATCAGGTCCCTGAATAGTTTTTTGAATAATAAATCATCAAACTTTTAAAAATTACTCGCCTACATTATTTTAACTCAAAAAAATTATCTGAAATCAGTTAGGATGGCTTTAAAGTAAAAAAAGAAAAACTTAAATCGATTATCTTAATCCTACGCCATTCAAATCCCTCGTCATCTCATCGTCGTTTGCTCTCTATAATCGTCCATCATCGATATTGGCTCCTGTCATCGATCTCACTATTTTTTATTTTTTTTTATTATCCATTCTTTATGTCTATATGTGTTTTATTAAATTGTTGTAAACGATGGAGAATTGAAAGAAAAACAGATCAAAAACATAGAGATTGATGGCATGGGCCAACAATCTGCAATGGACGGTAGAGAGAACGGACAACGATAGGGCGACAAGAAGTGGCGAGGGAGAATGATGTTGCGTGCGAACGGTTTGAATGACGTATGATATGGTATGGTTTAGGAACACTAAAATTGATTTATGTTTTTTACTTTAATACATTGGTACTTGGTTACGTGTAACTTTCTTGGGTTGAAATAACTGTAAGTGACCGGTTTTAAAAAGTCCGATGGTTTATTTATTCAAAAAGGTAGTTAAGAGACTTAATTATTCAAAACTGTTTAATGATTTTTTTTTCATTCAAAAAAATAGTTTCGTGACTTAATCATTCAAAATGAGAAAATTGAATGGTTTTTTCATCAAAAATATTTAGGGACTAAACTATTCAAAATGGAAAAGCTGGTTGGATTGTTTTTAAACATTTCTTTTGAATATGTAATTCAAGGGACTTTTTCTAATAGTCATGATTGTTTGGGTCACATTCTATGAAACTCAATTAATTTTATAAATCCTTGAAATTAACAACTGAAAAAAACATCCAATCAATCTAAGGAGACTTGAACGGGTGACCAGTAAAGAGCAAAACAAGGGTTCACTTAGAGATGAAAATGGGAATCGAAATGGGAATGTCTAGATAACGGAAATGGAAATGTATACTGTATTGGTGTTGTATGTTAGATACTGATGAACCATTATCATTATATATATATATATATATTTGCATCATTGTCATTTTTTTTATTTCAATATTTTTGTTTTATGGGTTTCTTATATTTTGTTGTTGTTGGTACGTAGTGTTGTTAACAATGGCCAATGTTATAGGCTTGTATCATCCTTTACGGTTGTCGTCATTCAACTTCATGTCAGTATGAGGGAAGCAAAAGTGAAGAGAGAGAGAGAGAGAGAGAGAGAGAGAGAGAGAGAGAGTGTGTGTCGTTGTGCCACAAGGAAAGGAAAAGAAAACATAGATCGCATTTCATTCACCTTAATTTGTTAAAACATGCTCCATTACCTAGTATTTGATAGTGGCCTATTTTATTACCTCAAACCAGACATCGTTAATAATTTTCAAGTCCATTCCCTGCCAAAGTATGTTTCATTATCCGTATAATATATGCTCACGACACGTGTCACATAAAAATACTACTGAGGAGCGAGAAGTATGTTAGCCTATAGGGTTGCACATAAATAATATGTTTGCTTCCATTTGTAGAAACCCGAATTAAATCAAGTTGATTTCATAATTAATTATTTTTGTGGATAATTATGTAAACATGTATTAAAAAATGTAATTATGATAATTATAAAGTGTCATATAAAATATGTATAATTATATTAATGTTTTAAGGTAATTATATAATTATTTGATTTATGAACTAACTGTAAGACAGTTCATATAAATAAGGTGTTAGGCTAAATCAATTCAAACTGATTAAATAAATTAGATTTAACTTTCATAAAATATACATAAAGTTAAAACATTTTCTTTTTTGTAATATACATATAGATTTAGGGTTTTGAGCTAGCACCCAGTAGAGGCGCAAAACGTATTCCTGTGTGGACTACCATAGAGGAAACTTAATTTGGTGTTTAAGTGCCTCGTCAGATCCTACTAAAATCTTAAAGATACAACTATAAACACCCTAATGAATCGTTTAAACCTTTGTTTTAAAGTACATCATTGAATCCAATTACGTTTATCAGAAAATAGTTTTCTGATAAATTTATAACCTAAAATTTTAACTTCCTTTGCGTAAACGGTTACAAAATTGTTACAACCTCGTATTTGGTAACACTTAATTTTATTACTTCAAATCAGATATCATTAATAATTTTTAACTTCATTCCCTCCTAAGTAGTGATGGCCAAAAACCGGTCTCGGGCCAGTCCCAAAAATTCTCATAACCGACCATAACGGTCCCGGTCGAAAAAGTTGAGCCCGGTCAAGCTTTATTGTAACCGGTTACGGGGCGCCGGTCCCAGTTATTAAAAAAAATATATTTTTTATTTTTATTTTTTTAATGATATATATTTTTAATAAATTATAAAATTTGTAATTGAGTCACTCAAATACACTTTAAAAATGCGTTTTATTATAATTAGAATTACATTGTCTTACAAAATATAGCGAGAAAACGATAATTGTGAACGTTTTTTTGTTTTTTTGCAAATCGAGAACTTGATATATAAATTCCTCAACCAAGACACTTATATATAGTGTTTAGAAAGCAAAAAAAAAACAAAAAAAAACCCAAAAAAACAGCTACATTTAAAAAAATAGCTACATTTTTTGAAAAATCGGGCTGGGCCAGGCCGGTCCATAACCGATCCCGGTCCGGTGAATTACCCAAAATCCATAACTGATCCCAGATTTCGGTTTTTTAACCGGTCCCGGTCCTCCGGCGGTCCTGGGCAGGTTTGGCCCTCACTACAATCCTAAGTAGAGATGGCCAAATCGGCCCGGCCCGGCCCGAGACCAACAAAAGACCGACTTGGTCTGGGACCGGTAAGGACCGGTTATGGGACCGAAAACCGGGACCAGTTGAGGTTTTTGGTAGTTTCGTGGGACCAGGACCGACCAGGACCGGTTATGGGACCGACTATGGATTGGCCCGGCCCAACTCGAAAATTCAAATAATTTTATAAATAAATGTATTTTTATAAGAAAACGTAATTTTAATTATATTAAAATGCATTTTTAAAGTGTATTTGAGTGACCCAATTATAAATTTTATAATGTATTAAAAATATATATCATTAAAAAAAAAAAAAAATCTTATTTTTTAATGCAAGGACCGGTTGGGACCGGGACCGACGGCCTATAACCAGTTATGAAGTACCTTGACCGGTCCTATCATTTTCGACCGGGACCGGTTATGGCCGGTTATGAGAAAGGTTAGGACCGATTGGGACCGACCCGGGACCGGTTTTTGGCCATCTCTAGTCCTAACTCCTAAGCAAAACATGTTATATTTATTGGGCCTAGTTAATCCCCTTTAGTTATCCATTGGGCCGTCTATTTTTCAAGAACACAGCCCATTAAACCCACTATTTTAGGGCTCTTATACCTCTAATTCTAAACGCCATCGCTGGAGCATCGATCAAGAAGAACAAGCATGTCGTCGAAGGTGGTTCTCAAGGGAAAAGGCAAATCAACGAAAGGATCGAAGCCATCCGTTGATAATTCAACATCAAAGCTCTTTAAAGAATGGAGCACATGGACGATCAAGAAGGCTAAAGTCATCACTCACTATGGATTCATACCATTGATCATCGTCATCGGCATGAACTCCGATCCTAAACCCTCCATCTCTCAGCTTCTCAGCCCCGTTTGATCGGTAATTATTTTTCAGTACTCGTCGACTTCAATCTTCAAACGAATCAATTCACTCTATATGGAAACATCGATTACTATAATGAGTTTAGGGTTTCTATTTTCTGTTTTTGTGCATTTGAGGATTTGGGTTATTCATCCTTTAGATAGATCCTGCTAATTGTCTTTTTGTGTTATGACTTAATAATATTTAGGAGATGTTATGATACATTCGTCCTTATTCATATTAATTCATATGATTTGCATTCACTCACAAGCAGATTTCTTGATTTTTGTTACTTTTTTGGTTTTTCTTTCAGAATGAGAGGAGCTGTTTCTGTTATTTGGCTTTGTGTTCTATTGCCCTAACTATGAGATTATGCATACATATGCTTGTGATTGTTACCTATATCATATATATGCAAGTTACATCATTAAAACTTTTAAAAAACATGGTATTGGCCATTTGCCAGTTGCTAAATGGTTTGGTGTAGTATGAATAAGAGGCTCTTGTGATATGGTGTAAAATGAAATATGATTGTTTAGAATGAAATTAGAGTGCTAAATGGTTTAGGGAGGTCCAAGATACAAGATCATATAGAAGGTTTTTGAACCATTATGAGACTTTTTTTTTTTTTTTTGTCAAACAAGATTAACCTCTTAACGGTTTAGAAGTTACCTCTTAATAGAACTATTAAAAAGTAAACAGATAACCCCTAACTAACCAGATGTCACCCTTTAACTTTATTTATGTTAGCACCATATACACTAACATTTATAAACATATACAAAAGAGTGATAAAACAAAATCCATTCTAATCTTTTGTTCTGCACGATACGGTAGTCAAAGATACCATGTCAGCCAATACCGTTACCTGTCAACGCTTAATTGGTATGAAAATCTTATACTATGTACCAACTGTACTTAGAACCATGTTTTTTGGTTAGTACATGTTGGTATTAGTTTAGTACCAGCATTGTAATTGCTGAAGTGAAGTTATAATGTTCAATAATTGAAGAACAAAAACTAAAGTTCAATTTTCAATACTTCAAAAATTAATACAAACATGCAAGTATTGAATTATTCATTAATAACAAACAAATACATAATTAATTAGTAAAGTCGATATGGTATAATCAGGGGCGAATCTATTAAGGGTTGAGCGGAGTCTTGTGCACCTGCTCCACTCAATTATCGTAAGAGAGAGAAAATGTCATGCCTTGAAAGTGCACTCGCTTAATTACGAGAGTGCCCTTAAATATTTATAAACCAAATTTATAACAAGGATTTGAAGCGGATGAGATGGTTGTTCCAATTCTGATATGAGGTTAGAGGTTGGAGCTTCATTCTTAGCAAATTTCTAATGTTTTATCTTTAATGGTTCATGTATAAAACAGTGTGGATGCAATGCATGTTTAAAACTCCAATTGACAAAAAATAGCTCCTGAATGTGTTTATAATGAATGACCTATTGTTCACAAGCTGTTAATATTGTGTTCATACATGTTTTATTTATTTATTTCTTTTCGTATAATAGCTATTCTTGTTATGTTCATATTGTGTTCATAAATGCTATACAGTCTAAGTTCATATTTATGTCAATTTTTTGTTCGTATTTGACACAATGGTTCATATATATATATATATATAGAGGAGCGATCAAATGAAAACCATTCCAATTTGTAAAAACCGTAAAAACTACTCTCATTCGTCGATTTCATTGTTTAATTTTATGAAATTTTTTCATGA